CCCCCAAAATTAATTTTTATCCATCTTCACCCTTCAAATATTGTCAATTTGTAAAATAACCCCAATAAAATAATTTATTCCATTTAAATCCAATTTTGACCATGACTTTGACAATTCCACTTTGATTTTTGACTAAATAATTCGGGTTGTAACAATCTTACCTCCTTAAAAGAATTTCGTCCCCGAAATTCGACTAACAACTGACTAGGTAATGAATAAATGAGGATATTGAGTACATATCTAATCCTCACTACCCTTATAATGCCTCTTCTTAAATGATTAACCAAATAGACTTTGAATAGATTTAGAGCTCATTCCTTCTTATCTTACCTCTTCTTTGGCTTATTCTGAGTTGAGCACTCCTTACTTCAATGGTAAACTTCAAACATACGTGAAACCTGATAGCTACTCCTTAAACCTTAGCACTAGACCATACATTTCTTAAATACCAGTTAACTTGTTGTAAACTCCATCATTGAATAATCTAGTCAAAATATGATGTTCTTCTCCTTTAATTCTATATCACCAATGATAACATATATACACCACTTCAATTTCCACCATTTCGAATAAAAGTACATCTTAAACTCTGGTGATAACTAAGTATCGACTTCCTCGCAATGTGATAACACCATACTTCCTAAATTCAACCCCAATATAACCAACTCTAAATTATACTTTAATCCTGCCTCGTCAACAATTCACAATACCATCCATAATTTTTCAGTTTACTTCAGATCACTTTCTAAACCTTAACATAATCCATTATCATAAATCAGACTCTTATCAACTTTACATACAAGGGTAAATATTCCCTCAAAATTAATGTGACAGTAAAACTTTTTACATTTCTAAACCCAAACAATTTTGGTACTCTTTCTTTCCATGAAAAGACAATAATAACATTTAATCCATGATAATTCTATGCTCTTATTCCATAAAGAGGTCATTGACCTATTGCCAATGCATCAGCCTTCCTGTATACTGCATAAAGACATTTAATTAAGGCCCTGTTCGGGAGGG